CTCCACCGGCGACCTAAGCAAGGATACATGCATCTGTAAAGTAGCCTGGAAATACGTTCTAAGGACACTGGAAGAAGGGGGACTGGGCCTAATCGACCCCAAACAGGAGGCAGTCGCCTTACAGCTGAAATAGATAATAAACATCCTACACCTAACCCCCTTCCCCTGGACAGCATTCGGAAACTCACCCCGGCAAAACCCCGGTGAACATGGAAGGGTATTTTTGGATAATGGCAAAAGAATGGTCAATCAAAACAGGCCAACGGTGAGCGAACAATAGCTCCACATTCTCGGCTAGCGCGGCCCGTCAGTCATCTACCCCCAAACCATACAGGGCCTCAGTCCTCAAGGCCTGGAGGTCCCGACACCCTACCAAGGCACTGGCTCCCCACACAAAAGTAGAAATGTTAAGACAGCCCCTCTTCTGCAACGATATGCTGACCAATGCAGAAGGCAAACCTTGGTCACTATACACAGGGCAGGGCGAATGGCTGTTGTGGGTAGAGAAAGGAGTATGGGAGGTGGAGCACCTATGGGACGGCAATAAAAGATCATGGAAGTCAGTCAAGGAAATGCGGAAAGAACTCAAGGGCTTGCATGGATTTGTCTGCTGAAGGAGAATTTCACCTGGAAACCCAGGGACTGGGGCGTCTCCATTCTAGAGGTTACCCCAACCAAAGCATACCGTTTTGTTAAACGGGTGGGAACGGGGAACCTCGAGGGTAAATTTCTGACATACTCAATCTCACGAGGCCATCACCAAGACCAGATAATTAACAGGGGGTGCCAAGACTCAAGGGTGGTAGAGGTCTTCACTCTGAGAAAGTAAGAGTTCTGCTTTCCAAAAACTGGAAGATCTTTGAACCAATGAAATCAATCAGGGACCTGGCATACGACCCGGGGGAATGGAGATGGATGAGCCAATCCCCCAGAGCCAAGTGATTAATCCCTGATTATACGGTTAAATTTGGAAACAATTTAGGCCTGACGACTAAGGAGCCAACCCATATCATAAAGGAATGATGGAACGAGTTACTGCAACCCCCACCCACCAATCCCATAGTTGTCCCCTGGAAGGCTTACAAGAGGATAAAACCATACTTGCGGCGCACAGCACCGGTGCGAGCTGCGCTGCGCTATGTGCCGGGCGAAGCGCACATGCGCGCGCGTTTGCAGGCATGTGCCCATGCGAATGCGCGGGCTTGCCACGCGCGTGCGAGTTGGGCTGGGCCAGGTGCGCTGGATGCAGGTTGTTTTTTTTGCGGGGGGGGGGGGGGGGGGGGGGGGGG